TTTTTTTCCTTTCCTTCACATCTGTGCCAGTTCTAGTTACCTTTTTCCCAAATCAATGGTACCAAATGTGGACGAAATTTCAATCATAGAGAAGAATTTCAATACAGACATAAATCAATCTGAATGGATGATGATGACAAGTATAGGTTATGTTTTGAAATTTTATTTATTTTGTAATAACTGTTATATTTCTAATGATCTAAGTGACTGAAGAGACCAAGTTTACTGCCAGAGATAGTGAGAGTAGGAAAGTTTGAGAAGAATTGAAATAAAAAAATAATATTCAATAATAATGATTATCTGTAAGGGCATAACCACATATAATATAGATTTGTTGACAATCCGATTCCTCTATTTATTTTCTCCTTCCCTTCCTTTTTAGTCTAAAATTCCTAATATCTAGAAAGGTAAAATGAAACCGTAACAAATGTTATTATCCAACTTGTCAAATGCCTTCGAAAAATCTGTGTAGACAGTATCTACTTGTAGGTTATCATTAAGTGCATTACTTACTGATTGTGTGAAGCACATCAAGTTAGTTATTGTTCATATTTTGTTAAAGAAACCGTGTTGATTGTATGAAATTGAATTCTTAACATCAAGAAAGATTCTGTTGTACAAGCACATCTCAAAATTAGACATTGTATTCTTTTCAATGAAAATAAAACTTTGAACAAATTACAACAATTAACTAAAATGTAAAGACAAAAGTAAATCTCTGCAACTGTTCACAATGCTGGCCTTATTCATGATAACACAACTGTGCCCCACTACGAATATCATTCACTGCACGATCAGTTTCCCTCCTCCTCAATCTCCTGAACTCTCTAACAATGCTGTGTTAAAGGTCCTCAATATTTCGATATTTTCGATATTTTTCGGAACTGCCTGGGTTGTTTATACTCCAAATGTGTTCGTTATTTCGGTTGAATATCCCACAATTCGAAAAAGTGCTTTTATCTGTCCAAATTACACTTTTCAGGAAAACAGCAAAACCAGGTCTTCTAATTAGCCAATTACAAAATTCTTATTGCCTTACGGGATCACCTAGATACAATTTTTGGGATATGTGTATTTTGTTACAACTCAAACCGCTTTTTCGAGATGTCTTCAAGCACTTGTAAGATAAATATTCGTTTCGGAGGAAACTTGACGTGTAGATTTCCCCGGGTTCATGTTTATCTGCAAATTATTAATTTATATTGATAATGACAAAATGTCTTACTTAGGTACCTCATACATACCTCAATTATCAAATTTTATTTAGTTTCCTGGTCCATTCTGTCTCC